TCAACCAAGTTGAATCCTCCAACCAAGTTGAACCACCTCCTGATCGGGGTGTGCCGAGGTTAGTGCGTAAACCTGTTTGACCTTCAGCGAATACCGTTTGGTGATTCTGAGTATAAGGTACCCTCGTCGACACACTCTCAATCTTTACAACGTTGTTAACGAGAGACTTTTGGACGATAAATCCGACACCTCCTTGGGACAGATGGTCGCCCTCCCGGTAATAGAGCAAGTTGCCGGATTCAAGGATTACCGTGTCCCCCCCTCTCTTCGGACTTTGGATAATCCTATAATATGCCAGCGTAACTTGTCTATCTCTTCTTCCAGCTCCACAATCTTCTCGTCAGTCCTCAGGGTGCGTGCGTTGTATGTTGCTAAACCGTAAAGCTAGTTATTAAAAAAATTATATAAATCCTGCGAGCTTTTAGGGAAACAAAATATTGTAATAGAAATCTGTGATTATAAAAAAAATAATAATATATTACCTAGGTCAAGGATGTATCAAATTTGTTTTTTTTTTGGAATATATTATAATATTTCTACGGCGATCTTTTTCGCTGCATACAAGCAATACAATATCCACACACAACGGCGACCGAGGCCGGAATGACGAATGTTAACGAATGACGGAGTGGAACAGTGTATTTAGTAAAATAAATTAGGTACAAGGCTCACAAACCACCGAAAATTTCGCCGTTTCTTAGCCGAAAAAAATTAATTATAACTAAACAAAACAAATAAACTGCCATTTACATTCCATAGCTTCGCACATTATAGATGAAGTGTTTTAAAAATAGACTGAGTTGAACAATTGATACTTTCAAAAGTTATCGTGTTTACTTAGACCGCATACTTGATAAATACACACCATTAACCACTAAAACCCCTTTTTTTATGATTATTTATGATACCTGGGTATGTCACAGAACACCAGTATCGATGAGGCGAGTATGAAACAGTCAATTTGGGATGTGTTTTATATACGCTTGACCAAAGTGCTGAACAGCCTTTTGTTGGGAGTAAATAAGACACACGCATATAACGGTTTGGGCATGCCTTTGGCATACTCAGGTGGACTCAGGCCAAACTTAACGCCCTGGATAGAAAAGTTCGCACTACCATAACGTCCGATAGAATGCATCATCCGAGATCGTCGGTAATGAGGCTGTTCTTGCCGCGAAAACATGGGTGGGCGTGGCTTCTTAAGCGCGCTTACAATGCATAATCTCGAAGTTTGCAGCCTCCGTAATTAGTAATTACTTTCGGACGACATCGGATGATCCATTCTATAGAGACGTCATTTCTTATGATAAAGGGCTTACTCCTCTATCTTTAGCCAACAAGCAATGTCAAGACCCGGCAGTACAGAGCATTTCCGAACCGTGAGACCGTATGGATGGAGAAGGAGCTACACGGGAGGTTCTACAAGGCTACATGAGTCTTTCGTAGACACAATTGTCTCCCTCCACTGGCAACGTTTTGGTGACCTCTTTGGGGATACTGAGGGTTTTGCCTGTGCGATACAGGATTAAGTTATTAACAGCAACAACTATCGGAGATACATCCTAAAGGATGGCTCCGTCGACATCTGTCGAGCTTGCACCGGTGAGTTAGTTAGGCATGTCATCTACGGTTGTTCGGCGCTTTCTAACTCTGAGTACTTACACAGGCACAACCTAGTAGCCAGAATTCTACACCAAGAGCTCGCTCTGAAATTCGGTCTCGTGGACCGTAAATTGCCTAATAAAAATCACTTTCTGGAAGCCGTGCTCCAAAATGACCTCGCCAGGCTCTACTGGGACCGGGCCATCATCACAGATAGGACTATTTTTGCGAATAAGCCTGATATTGTGCTGATGGACCAGGCACAGTCACGGATATTTTTGTCGACATTACCATTCCTTATGACAAGGACCTCGTGAAAGCTGAACCAGATAAGCAAACAAAATATCTGGACCTGGCTCACGAGGTGACCTACAAGTACCGTCGGCCCCAAAGAGGTCACCTCTCGGGTCATCTGAGGTGACTGGGACTCCGTGACGGTCCGCTCCGGGCCCAAATGCAGAAGGCGAGGCTCGTCGATACCGCCCGCATCATCCGCCGGTTTCTTTCCCTTTCCCCCTAACCTTCGGCCGTTTGGTCTCCTCTGGCGAGGACTTTCACTTCGTTGAATTTTTATTTATGTATGCATTTTTATGTATTTATTTCATGTTATTGATATTTATAGATATAGAATCTCAGTCTTACACATAAGGCTGAACTTTTACGCACATCTGACTCTCTGACACTTTTACGTAGATCTGAATCTATGTTTGCGTAAAACCTCAAGGGGTGTTTCTGTGTGTTTTCTTAAAATTGTCCACGTATTTCTCTAACACTTCGCCATGCGTCAAGTATCAACGATCGATACTTCAAACGATGACCGCTTTGGAGTCAAATTCTCTGTGAATATCTATACACGCGTGGCTCTCAACTGACAATGTCCATTTGAAAGTTGTCATGCTATATTTTAACAATACTGACTCTCTCGCCCAGCAGTGGGAGCATTAGAAGCTGTTAACATTACTTTAAGGCAGGCAATTGTAGTTGTTAATAGAATTAATTGTAATGCCTTGTACAGAAACCGTCAACAGTATTACCAATCGTGATATTTTATATTACAATTAAATTATATGTAAGTTGTGTGTTCTAAAATTTTTCATAGTATTAAAGTGCAAAATTTGTTAAAATATGTAATTAAAATTTAAACAAATGATCCCTTCTTTCCTTATGACCCAAATAATATATATAATAATATCAAGAATATACCATTACTTGTAGCCATGTTGTGGTAGCGTATGAGAAACCATCCTACATTGTTCCGTGAGTGGCGTAAAAAGTGACAATTGAAAATGCTTTAAAATCTTATGGTATCCAGTATATATTTTCATAATATAATTATAATGTCCTCCAAACCAAATTTCGGTCGACGGAGACTGGCCATCTGCGCAGGACAGGATTATAGTGTTCTCGTTCGTAACTATACATACGCAAGCACAGGCTGGTGCACTCTCTATTCCCTTACTCTCATAAGCCGATGGGACGGTAGTCCGACTCGACTGAGAGAGATCAGGTATATACGAAGTGGTTATATTTGTATATACCAGATGACAAATACGTTCATTTTATTTCTAATACTAGATGACCCAGCTGACGTTGTTCTGCCCTTTACGGTAGATGGTGCCATAAGTTTCACTTTGAATTTTTTCAGAATGTTTGCAGTGTAAATAAAAAACTTATAAGAACTCGACCTTGTTTTCGTGATTTTCTTTATTAGCACTTTGCCGACATATAGTGAATATGAGTAATTTCCATTTATTTCCATTAGAATTAGTTGACAACATGACTATAGTGCCACCTATAGGATCCTAGCGTAGCTATAAACCATCGCTAGACAAAACAAATATACAGGGTTATTTTTCAAAGAGTAGCCAAATTGTAAACTTACGTTGAAATATAATATAATTAGTAATATGCATACCGTTATTGCAGTTTTTGAAAAAACGAGTAAATAAAGCTTCTTTTATTCAAAATTATTCCAAACTGAATGTGACTTTTGAGCAATAATATTTTTGCCTACCGATCGACCCCTACGAATGTGTGCGTGCGCAGTAAAATCAGTTAAAATAATGCATTACCACGCATTTTGCATTTGAAAGATAAAAAGGACAGAAAGTTTGAGATTTTTTTTATTAATTTTTTTCACCATTTGCCTATATAACTTCTTCTGATCCTCCACTGTAAATTTGGCGGGTTATTGAAAAATAACCCTGTATTGTGTGAATATGAGCTCAATCGGTCTGGCCATTCAAAAGTTACACAATCACTAACAGTGGCACTAACTATTATGTAATACGTGTATATAAAGAAGATTGGTAACAAAGAGAACAGAAGTCGTAAGTGCGTTTTTAGAAATCCGTCTGGGTATCTATTTCTGCTACCAAATAGCAGTGCGTGCATGCAACTGCGTGCAACTCACAGTCTGGTAAGTGGACTACTTATACATCATCATTACAGCCCTTCACACGTCCACTGCTGAACATAGGCCTCCCCCAAAGAATGCCACAAAGCACGGTCCTGAGCCACCTGCATCCATCGACTTCCTGCATGTCTTACCAGGTCGTCACTCCATCTCGTGGGGGGACGCCCTACACTTCGCCTACCGGTACGAGGCTGCCACTCGAGAACCTTTCTTCCCCATCGATTGTCGGTTCTTCGAGCTATATGGCCGGCCCATTGCCACTTCAGCTTACTAATCCGTTGGGCTATGTCGGTTACTCTGGTTCTACTGCGGATATCCTCATTCCTAAGTTTATCACGCAGAGAAACTCCGAGCATAGCCCTCTCCATAGCTCGCTGAGCGACCTTGAGCTTCCTCATCCGGCCAGCAGTGAAGGACCACGTCTTAGTTCCGTATGTCATCACTGGCAACACGCACTGGGTGTACAGTCTCGTTTTTAAGGTTTGAGGTATACCTGACGAGAAGATGTGCCGTAATTTCCCGAACGCTGCCCAACCGAGTTGAATCCGTCGATTGAACTCTCGGTCGAAGTTGGACTTACCTAGTCGGACTATTTGTCCCAGGTAAACATACTCGTCAACAACTTCGAGCTTAGTGTTCCCAACAACTACCGGCATAGGTGTGACATGGACATTAAACATGATCTTTGTTTTGTCCATGTTCATCTTAAGACCTATCCGTTGGGAAACACTATTGAGGTCATTGAGCATAGTGCTTAGGTCCTCCAGCGATTCTGCCATAAGGACTATATCGTCGGCAAATCGAAGGTGAGTGATGTATTACTTATACATACTAATTTTAATAAAAATAAAAAAATGTATGAAGAAAATAAAATAAAACTAAACAAGAACATTTGGCTCAATCATTTATTCTGAATAATAATAATATACAATATTGCAATTTGACATGTACAAAAATTTCATACCAACATACTTATTATATCCTAGTGGCTATGGTGAACAATAGTGCTTGGGTAGCTAGAGATCAATTTGGTTACGCCAATCGAGTGACCGATGCCCGAAGAAATACCGGACAAGCCTAAACCGTGGCCGTAACCATATCCTAGAGAATACCCTGATCCAAGCCCCGAGGAAATGCGAATTCCTGAACTGAGTCCCGAACTGATGCCAGAACCTAGTCCGACGGCAATGCCTGAGGCAATTCCTGAGCCATAGCTCAAGCCCGCTCCTGAGCCGTAGCTCAAGCCCGCTCCTGAGCCGTAGCTCAAGCCCGCTCCTGAGCCGTAGCTCAAGCCCGCTCCTGAGCCGTAGCTCAAGCCCACTCCTGAGCCCAAGCCCAAGCCCACTCCTGAGCCTAAGCCGATGCCTGAGCCAACACCTATGCCAGAACTAATACCCGAGGCAACACCTGAGGATAACCCTACTGCAAGTGCAGGCCCTGCTGATACAGCAACTGGGACTCGTCTTTCCACAACAAAGGGTTGAGGCACGGGTACGGGCCTGTTTACGACCACAGGTTGCGGCACGGGTACGGGCCTGTCCACTTGCACGGGGACTGGCACTCTGACTGGACGATCCACGTAAACAGGTTGCGGTACTGCCACTTGACGGTCTACATACACCGGACGGTCAACAGCAACTTGCTTCTCTACTGTTACTGGGTATGGTACAGGCACCGAAACTGGCACTTTAACTGGGTATGGCACTTTTTTCTCGTAATACACGGGGACCTGTCGCGTAATTTCCACTGGCACTCTGTGAACAACGGGGACTGGTCGATCCACCGCTACTGGGTATGGTACTCGCACTGGAACTGGTACTTGTCTATCAACAGGTACGGGCACCGACACTGGAACAGGCACCTGAACGTCGCGGGTGATCGTTCTGGTTACGAATCTTGGTACTTCTTGGCGCAAGATAACAGGGTTTGGTTCAACAGAGACTGATGTTTGGACACCTCCACCGCCACCTCCACCAGAGATTGCTATTCCTGAGCCACCGCCAATAGCTCCACCAAGACCAATAGCTCCACCGGCACCAATAGCTCCACCAGCGGCAATAGCTCCACCAGCGCCAATAGCTCCACCAGCGCCAATAGCTCCGCCAGCGCCAATACCTGTCACTATCGCTGGGCCAGCTGACCCAATAGCTATTCCAGATCCAGCACCTAATCCAGATCCAATAGCTAATCCAGATCCAATACCGTATCCAGATCCAACTGATATTGCCGGACCGGCAGATATTCCAGAAGAAATGCCCAAAGCTGGTCCATGTGAAATAGATACAGCAGGTCCAGATGAAATAGATACAGCGGGTCCAGCTGATATCGAACTAATTCCACCGCCATAGCTAATTCCGCTACTATAACCAATTCCTCCGCCCAAACCGAGGCCTAATGGAGCACCAAAGTGACCAGTGGAAAAAATGCCTCTTTTTACCCCTTTAACTGATGATTCCTCTTTGATTCCTTTCTGAAGTAGTTCTGATACTTTCGATTTTTCGTCGATCCCTTTTGCTGTGGTGAGGCTGCTGCATACCAGCAGCAACTGTAAAAGAAAAGGATTAAATTAATTTTGTTTGTCATTATTAACATTTCTGTACGATTTTTTTTTTACCGATAATGTTCTCTTAATGTTGTGCCATCATCATGATCATCGATAATATAACAGCCACTAACAAGTATACCAATCACCAACAAAGCAAAATCACTAAACTCTACTCCTAGTCAGATTGTCACTCCATCAGGTGGAAATATGTATTATGCTTTATTTTTTTATATTATTTTTTTGGTTATTTTACTAGTATATATTTATTTACAAAATAAAAGACGAACCTTCTTTCAAATATCTTTCATTATCTTTCAGCATCTATTTTATTTAGGTAATAAATTAATGGAAAAAATAACAAAAGATTTAACTTAATAATTAAAGACCAACTATTAAATATGTAAGAAATATAACAGCTTATATAGCTGTTATATTTCTTACATATTTAATAATTTTGCTTGATAAGTATAGGTAATAATCTTTAATTTTTTAATGAGAACATTAGCAGTGCTACATTCTCCAGTAACGCTTAAAATGCAGCTAAATACACAAAAGCTTGCGCCTAAGAACTATAAGTGTCAAGTCAAAGTATACACATTAGAACTACATAAGGCACATGTAGAATCTAAGCAACTGTAGATGTAGGTTATCTAAGTTATCGCAAAAACAATTCAACATTATTTTTTAAACAAAAAACTACTTCATGATAGCCAAATTAATAATATACCTATCTAACCGTAGTGTTAAATTTCAATCCCAAAGTGACTCGCACTTTTTGCCTTCTTTGTTTGAAATTGTGAAGTATTCATGTGCACACATAGTCAATTGATTTGATATATAATGATTTGAGATACATAGCTTTCATTGTATTAAAAAAAACGTTAATTTTCTTAATTATTAAAAGTGATCTTTTTGTTTTTTTATCATCAGACAGTGGTTATTCATAGTATAAAATACAAATTAAAAATTAGCATTTGATTCTGTTCTATTTATTGTTATTAATTATTAATTTATATCCTAAAGGAAGTCCTTATCTTTCAAATTTCTGAAAACTATCAACACCTTCAACAACGTTTACATTATACGAGTGGAGTTTCAAAAATAAGTAACTCTAAACCCTAGTAACGTGCGGATGTGTTTTCCATAATAGTTAATGCATATAATTTCGAGGGGGCATAAAGTAATTAATGTTGACAGGTGTTGATTTTACAAAAACAAAGAATGAGTACGTAATTGGTTTGTTATTGTTGGATAATTTTGAAATCAAAAGCCATATTAGTAAGTGTTTTTATTTTTTTCTAATTATGTCACGGTCCCTATGGTACGGTGGCAACTCAAATGAGCGAAAATATTTTCTTTAACCGTAAATCTTGCTTCTAATTACACTAGTCCAGTTAATTATGTTCGACGACGAATCAAAGCATTCATAGCATAAGTAAATTGTAAAAGGGGTCCTATAATTGCTCCTTGCGAAATAGGCTTAATCAAGATTCTAGGCGGTCCTCAGATATGGAACCTTAGCCCGTCGCGAAGTAAATAACAAGTGTTCTAGATTATTAAACATACCAACCAGTCCCATATTAGTAAATTTGAATTATTCATACGATATAGATGGTGCAAAATTATATTCAAAATGCTGCACACAGATTTAAGAACTAATCGTTTAAAACAATGTTTTCTTTTACATTTTATAAGCTACTGCTTGACTACAAGCCCACCTTGTGGTAAGTGGTGATGAAGCCCTGTATGGTAAATCGCACTGCCGTAGCGTAACAGAAGCCTATACACCCTTGCCTTAAAGACACCCAGATTTTAAAAATATATAAAAAATCTAAATAGAACGGAAAGACAGACGCCGGCGAATTATTACTCTCCTTTGTTTCCATATTTTATACTATTATATTAATTATTTAATTTCAATTATATATCCCCATAATAAGGAATGTAAAGGACGGACGTAATGCCTTTTTTCAATAAGTAGTTGGAGTATTAAAGTCTATAAAAAAAACTATAACAGAGACAGCATAATTTCAGAATTAAAAGAGAATTTGGACCGATTGATCAATTCAATAACGTCTTTCTTTGGATTGGCCAACTTTTCTGTCTGGAAAACAAGTTGTTTGAATTGAGAAATTGTTCCAGATACAGTTATCTAAGCAAGTTGTTATCATTTTGATTTAAGCTGTTTACGAATTTTCAGAATTATTACAAATTAACATCAGATGCACATGCAAATTTCATATATTCTTAAAAACTCTCAACCTTTTCTACACATACACCTTTTATAGAGCTTCTAAACATAATGTTTGAAAACTCTTGTAACGTTTGTAACCCGTGTTTCATAATAATGGATTTGGACCGGTAACTTTAAAAAATTATCTACGAATAAAATTTTTAGTTTGTCTTAGTCAATTTACAATTTCAATATTTAAAATATTAAATTTAATATAATGTTGATATTATATATAAAGTATATTTTTAATGAGTAATATAAATAAAATCTCTAAGTTTCAAAAACGGGACAATTTTTGTAAGTAGTAATCAAAAATCTTACCATTAAAACTGGGATCGTAGCCATGTTGGAAAATAAAAATTTCCGTTGTAGCCTAATCACATTACTTTATAAATCGATTTTATGGTTACTATCGTCCGAACGAATCGATATGTCGTGTCAATCTGCTGTCCTGACTCTGAAGTCTGCGTTTATATAGTTACAAGAATCACTAACTTCTTACGTACATTTCATGTTGCTATCCTACTGTGTCTTACTTAAGGACTGCATATATGCACCGGTTTTGCTACATCTCAATTAAAATATTTTAAAATTACCTAGTGTCGGAATATTTAAATCTATTGATGAAATTACAGATTAAATGTGTGTATAACCATATGTATGACTCGGAACATTGTTTTATGGCATTTCTTGAGTGAGGTCTTTGTTCACCTTTGGACATGTGAAGAGCAGTAATAATGATGAAATGAAATATATTTATTTCTCCGACGGAAAAATATTTTTTTTTCATATCTACTACCATATCAAAATGAGATTCCTCTGACCGGAGAGGAAACGGTGAAAGAAACTCGGCAGATGTTCTCTTGTTTCATTTTTTTTATACGATGTTCTTTATCGGACGGTACGGATTTAGCGGATGGCGGCTAGGTGACAAAAAGTGTAAAATGTTTCCATCACGATCCCTTTTGACGTAGTGTAGACGGTTTGGGCGGCTACAAGGAAGCGAGATGGAATAGTATCCATCTCCCTCGCACTTTTTCTTATCTTGCTATGAAAGAAATATTATTTTATTTTAAATGACGCTTCATTCAGCGTCTACGCTAGTAATTCATTTTTTTTATAGAATAAGGGTGACAAACGAGTCACACAGTCCACCTGATGGTAAATGGTTGCTGTCGCCTATAGACATCTACATCTATCTTCGTTTGCGAATTAAAATGCAGATGCGTTGTCAAACGTGAGCACTAAGATAGAATGCTTCTTTTCCAGTAAAAAGGGTCTCCGGTTCTCTACACTCACCACACGAAACACAGCAGCATTAAGCTGCTATTTTACGCTGGTATTCTGTGAGAGCGTGGTCCTTCCTCGGTCGAGCCGATCCATTCGTGCTACAACTATACTACTAATATAGCTGCAGCATGGCTCTACCACGTATTATAATCTTGCCATAAAAGAAATATTATTTTATTTTAAATGACGCTTCATTTTAATAGACGCTAGAAATTCATTTATTTGTATTTGTTTATCAATAATATAATACGTTTATCAACAATAATATACTACGAAAAGAATTTCGTTCTAACCGAGTGTTCCACGACACTCACGAATGTTTATTTTTTTTAAATTTAGTATTATAATTGCATATTTTTAGTATTATTAGTAGTAGTGTATATGGAATGGAAAATAATATATATATAACCATCAGTAGCTGATGCATGTTCTATGATGCAGTCAAAAAGAAAAGGATGTCCCAAAAAGCTCAAAAATTTTGGAGCTTATCAGTTATCAGTACATAGTGCATGTGAATAGACTAGACCCCAGACCAGCCTTCAGAAGCAGCATTTGTTTACATGTATGACGCATTATGATGATGATACATTACCATGCTGTGCCGCGATAGTTCGTTTGCCTTAAAAACTCTTCGTACGAAAGTTTTGCAAGACCCGCCGCAGAAGAACACAAATAATCTCCGATCACACTTTTAATCTCATGGCTGTTAGACGTGATATTAAGCTGTAGTCTTCAGTAGATTTGACAGCATACAGGCAACTGAACAGACAGATCTCCAAATGCATGCGGCGGGACTTACGCAACTTTAATACCGTTCGTATTGAAGAAGCGATCGAGCGAAACCAGGGCTCCAAAGTCTTTGCTAGAGATATGTCTGCCAGAAAGAGCCAACAGTCGAAGCTGAAGACCGAGTGTGACACCTGAGATTTTGAGTGAGATTGAGAGGTTCTATGGGCAGCTGTACACATCATCGTTGGTGCCACACGTAAGTGTGAGTAACGATCCAAGGGCGAGTCTTATCCGACACTATTCCGATGATATCCCGAACGTCAGTGTGAGCGAGATTAGAATGGCTCTCCAGTAATTAAAAAAGGCAAGGCCCCAGGCGAGAATGGAATTTCAGCGGAGTTTCTGAAAGCGGGTGGAAAACCGGTACTTGAAGTCCTTCAGAAGTTCTATAATTCCGTCCTCAATGGTGGCATTACACCGGAAGCGTGGAGCAGTAGTGCGGTGGACTTGTTCTTCAAGAAAGGTGACAACGCTCTCTTGAAGAACTACAGACCAATTTCACTTCTGAGCCACGTCTACGTGCTGTTTTCGAGTCATTACGAATCGTCTCGCGCGCAGACTTCACGACTGCCAGCCTCCCGCACAAGCCGGTTTCCGAAAAGGCTTTAGCACCATAGACCACATATATACACTTCGGCATATTGTACAGAAGTCCGAGGAGTACAATTTGCCACTATGTCTGGCGTATGTGGACTATGAGAAAGTCTTTGATTCCATCGAAATTAGGGCGGTGCTGCAGTCCCTTCAGCGATGCCAAGTTGATTGTCGGTATATCGAAGTGCTGAAGTGTTTGTACAGTAGGGCTACGATGGCTATCCGAGTACAGAACCAGAGTACGAAACCTACCCAATTGCAGAGAGATGTAAGACAGGGTGACGTTATATCCCCGAAACTCTTCACCCCTGCATTGGAAGACGTTTTCAAGCTTCTGGGCTGGGAAAGATACGGTATGAACATCAATGGCGAATACATCACTCACCTTCGATTTGTCGACGATATAGTCCTTATGGCAGGACCTAAGCACTATGCTCAATGACCTCAATAGTGTCTCCCAACGGATAGGTCTTAAGATGAACATGGACAAAACAAAGATTATGTTTAATGTCCATGTCACACCTATGCCGGTAGTTGTTGGGAGCACTAAGCTCGAAGTTGTTGACGAGTATGTTTACCTGGGACAAATAGTCCGACTAGGTAAGTTCAACTTCGACCGAGAGGTCAATCGACGGATTCAACTCGGCTGGGCAGCGTTCGGGAAGCTACGACACATCTTCTCGTGAGACGTACCTCAAAACCTTAAAACGAAATTGTACAACCAGTGCGTGTTGCCAGTGATGACTTACGGATCTGAGACGTGGTCCTTCACTGCTGGCCTTATGAGGAAGCTCAAGGTCACTCAGCGAGCTATGGAGAGGGCTATGCTCGGAGTTTCTCTGCGTGATAAACTTAGGAATGAGGATATCCGCAGTAGAACCAGAGTAACCGACATAGCCCAACGGTTTAGTGGGCTGAAGTGGCAGTGGGTCGGCCATATAGCTCGAAGAACCGACAAGCGATTGGGAAGAACGGTTCTTGAGTGGTAGCCTCGTACCGGTAGGCGAAGTGTAGGGCGACCCCCCCCCCCCCCCAAAAGATGGAGTGACGACCTGGTAAGACATGCAGGAAGTCGATGGATGCAGGTGGTTCAGGACCGTGCTTTGTGGCATTCCTTGGGGGAGGCCTATGTTCAGCAGTGGACTTGTGAAAGGCTGTAATGATGATGATGATGATGATGATAAACAAGGTGATTAGAGTTACAGCCTACTAAAGTCCACAGACGTTACGAATACTTATCCAGGCAAAAACGGAGACTCAACCTGAATACGTATTATAATTGTAGCATGAATGGGTCGGCTTGACCGAGGAAACACTCTCGGCTCTCACAGAAAACCAGTATAAAATAGCAGCTTAATGCTGTCCTATGGTAAGTGTAGAGAACCAGAGACCGTTTTTACTGGATACAAGGCATCCTAATCCTTTAAACGTATTTTGATTCTTAATCGAGGATAAATGTAGATATCTAGGGCCGCATCATCCGCTTATAATCAGGTGTGCTATGTACTTCTTTGTCACGGTTATTCTATATAAAAAAGCTGCCTAACTTGGTAAGTGGGTTGGCAAAAGATGATTATATCGTAATAAGTCGTATATGTCGAAAGCCATAAGATCTTTTTCACATATCATCCCATAGTTAACTCTTACGACACCCACGGGACGAAATAAGATGATAGACTCTCTTGCACTGCCACCTCAAGGCATTTTATAATATATTTCATTTCAGCTACTTACCATATTTATAGGTTGAAAGTGCTGGAGTAGTGTCGTGTTTGTGATGGTGGGATATGTTTTGTACAGCAATATGACACTATCTCGTCGATTTCCAAAATTAAACCCGCCATAATGCCAAGTTTATAAAATCTTAAATAATTTCATATTATGGCTTATAAAATCCATTATTTAGAAAACGATTTCTTTATGAATTTTTCTCAAAATCTAAATGGCGTTTTTCTAAACTACCATATTATTGATCTAAATCTGAACATAGGTGAGTAGCCGAAACGCCCTAGATGGAAGTTTATCGACCAAATTAGTGATATTTCGAAGACTCGCCACGGCTTCGCCTGAATCTATTTAAGGCGTTATTAAGATCAATCATGAAGAATCACGAAATACCATTTATTTTATTAATTTCTCAATTATAATTTTTTGAATCTCCAAATATTTCGGATAAAATATCAGCCTAGATCGCTACTGGTATTGCTCTCTTTCAGTTTATGAAGTTTCATTACAATCACAAAAATACAAACACAAACAGACAGATTGACAGACAGACACACTGTAAACATTTGAAAAATGTTAATTGTTATTCATGTCTTAATGCTATATAGATAATATACTCAGCTTATCATCATTACATCCCTTCAAAAGTCCACTGCTGAAAGATTTCTTATATTTACACGAACACTACACATTTAAATAAAACTAGTTTTAACGGATTTTATCGCATATATCAAATTATTTTACGAATATATCCCCGACATTTCGAGCACTTTAAATCAGCCATGATCACGGAGACTAAGGTGTTTGACGTTCTAATGTCATAGTTAACCACGGCTACCTCCAGATTAAAATTATTAATTTTTGTTCAGATCTACGCAATATGAACTTAAAGTCTTGCAGTTGTAAGCTTGGGTTGGGATTTAATTTTATTAATTATTATAAGACAC